ATACTTATTGAAGAAAAAATAACATACTTATTGAAGAATGGAATAGAAGGTATATTAATAGGATAAACAATTTGGTTAATAACAGAGGAAGTAAGAAGTCAAGATGACTGATACTTCAATATTTTTCTTAAGCATACTTAATAGTCTTTTGAAATTATTCTTAGTTCATACAGATTTAAACTCTGGGTATAATAATAAAAAAAAACAATTGTATTGCATGGAGCATATCATCTTTAAATATATATATTTATTCACAGATGCCTTTAAGACATATAAATTTATCGTAAAATTTTTATTGTGAAAAATTGAATAAGCCAGTATATAGAAAAAAATTTAACCTCCAATTTTTAAAACAATCAGATCTAATGCTCTGTTGAATCAGTCTGGTTATTTTTGCTAGTTGTTTCAGCTGATAAAATAGTCTCATTTTCGTCATCACATGAAGATCCCAAATAATATTCAGTTGAAACGGTAGAATCAGTTTCATTACTGACTGCACCTACTGTCTCTGCATAGTTCCTTTCACATTCTTCATCCGCTCTTCTATTCATCCGCCCAGTGAACACATCATTGGCACCATCTTTCTCAGTGCCTTTTTTTGGGGTATCAGTGTTAGTTATAAACTTAATAAAATATGCACGGTCAAGCAACTTCTCGTTTTCCTCTGCTTCAAGCTTAAACCAGTCATGCTCAGGAGCATCATCCACACCATTTTCATAACCAATAGATTTGCGATCACAGCCATAATGATCAGTAATGTTACTTTCTACTACGTTTCTGTATTGGTTTAGTTGAGCTCGCTAAAATATTTTATGAAAAATTACAAAATATTGATTTGGATTTATTTTGACATTTGAAAACTAAAAACAAACAATACTAAAATAAAATAACTTACGGCTGAAGTCAAGAGAGAGAAACCTTCCAAATTTTCATTAGATCCATTACGACCATTACGACCAATACGATCAGTACGACCAGTACGATCAGTACGACCAATATGATCAGTACGACCAGTACGTGGGAAAGGCATTTTAAAAACTTATGTAGTCTTAAACCAAATTAACCAAATAAAAACGCAATAGGTGCTCAATCAGCCCTCATCGTCTGGAAGATTTCTAGAACAGGTACTTAACTGTAAATATTTAATATTAATTATTTAATTCTTTTCTTTTTTGAAAATTAATGCTATTTACATGCAAGTCAAGTCTACTGTAAAGCAATTATAATAAAGTTTTACTTTTGACGTTTATTTTCACAACAAAATTTGGAACTGATTGTAAAGAAAATAACTTTTAAATGTTTTGAAATACACAAATCATTTTTAAGTTAATTTAAATAATTCATGACATTCTATGTTTTTTTTAACTGCTACCAATAAACTGAAACTGGTAGAAGTGTAAGAGAAAAATAGTCTAACAGATAGAAGATTTATAATCAAACGAAAACAGTTATCATTGTATTCCACGGAGAATAACAGATTGTTATTGGCTACGAGTATTTTTGATTTTTCACATCGAATACGTACCTTGGTTATTCTACACCAGCACTGTCCAAAGCATGACCCACGGACCACATACAACTCGCGGATAATATATCCGCGACATATTGCTAATCTAATACAATACCCAAATTTTTCCTTAATTTTGGTGGAATTATATTATTTTAAATTAGTGGTATCCCAAAAAAATGAATTCAAGTGAATAAATTAATAACGTACGTACTTGTTTCTACGGCCCTCCAATCTACATAGTGACATATAGTCCTCCAAAAATTTCTGTAAATTTTCAATTGTAATAGGCCTATGACAAATTTATGTAATTTACTTTTTTTTTGATATCACGATCAGTAGTCAGCTGACGGTAAGTGGTCACGCTCATAGTGTGCAGCTAATTTTTTATATCCTCATACCACTGTTTTTCTGAAAGAGACATTCTCTTCTCTCCAATAATGCACGTCTCCAATTTTGTTTTAATATTTACTTTTTATTTTTATTTTTTTTTTATTTGTAATCAGTCTTTGAAGTAATAAATCTCGCAAAATAAAATAATTTGGTCACATTCTTAACCATCGCAACCATCGTTTTAAGTAATCTCGCAAAATTGAATATTGAAGAACTTGTAAAAACTGTACTGACGTAATATACTTGTAAAAATTTCATTGCAAAATCTTGGCTCTCAATATTGTAATAGCATTATAGAAACCTTTTAAAAAGATAAATATTGAGAGTAATTTCATTAAAGTTGACACAAAAATGAGGTACAATGCAGTCCAACAAATGGTACTCTCAGATTTGCTTTTTGGTTTAAAATTATTTGATATAGAAAAGTAAAAAACTATACCATATAATAGTATCATTTCTTTTGTTGAATCAATCCTTTGGCAATACGAATTCAAAAAAAATTATATCGTTTGAATGACACCCTGAAATCTTTCTAAATAGAACAAATTATTTTAGTTGTTTCCATGACATCATATTTGTTTTATTATATTTATATTTACACGGAAAGTGACAAGTCCTATAACTAGTCCTGTGCAACTTCTACACAGTATTGAAGTATTGATGCAATGACACAATTCTCCTTTAGTACTCCAATAACTACACGAATTACAGATTTGCTGAAACCCAAAATAGCTTTCGTTATACTCCTGTGTAATCTATGTCCTAAGATTGTAATATCGTCGCAGTCTTCGCGATTTAAACCACTAAGTTAAAAAATTATTCGTGAGTAATAAATTCAAATTATATTTTTCATTATAAATTTCGCAATAATCAGCGATACATTCAATTAATGTAATCAGATATATACTTTGTTGTTGTAGTTTATTACTGTTTAAACCTTTCTATTTGAATAAATATATTCTTCCTTGATTAATTTTATGGACCTATTTCAACCATAGACATCTAGTTTCTTAGGGCTTCGTATCTTTTAAACTTCATTTAACAAAAAGACTCTTAAAATTTTAAATTGTTTAATTAATGGAAAATACTACAATTTTTTTAGATTTTTATCTTCGTAACATATGTAACGCTGTTGTACGGACGAGTGATTTTCACTCACTTAAAGTATCCCAAAACAAAACCTCCTATTTTATAAATGTTTTTCATTTTGTGAAATCCATTAATTATTCTTTTTGTATCAAAAAATTTCCTTCTAAGTTAACACAACCATGACCCTTCGACTCCCGCTAATTGCTGCTGAAGATTTACAAAGAAACAAAAAATGATTGAAAGAGACTGAAAAACATATTGAATGGAATAGAAGAGGTCTTCCATTGCCATATTGTAAAGCTTATAAAAATAAATCAACATCCGTTGTTATGCTAAACATTCAAAGCCCTTGCGCGGTGTTCCCAGCGTTAAGTAAACATTTTACATTTTCCCAAGCTAAGCACGTACATGAGCCCTTCGTGCGCATTAATACCTCAATAAATGCCATATTTGCTTTATTCCGACTGACTGTAGGTATTTCTGCTACAATTTAGAAAACATTAAAAGTGTTAACTTGTTATTTAAGCCTTACCATCGCTTCCTTACTCCTCTCACACACCAAAGCCATTCATTGTAACTCAGAACTTTTTCATTGCTGCTAAGCTATTCTCAAAGCGCTTTCTGACGATTAATAACCTATTCTTCTGTAAGCTCTTTCGGCGTTACTTGTACTGCGCTGAGCGTGACTTTGTGTTTCTTTCACATCACGTCACATCCACACAAGTAAATTCCTGCTGATATACGAGTAGTATTGGCCTCTGACTAGAATAACACATATATTTTCTGTTTTGTTCCAATGTTCCTGACTTCTCTATTATTTTACTATTTTTGAAGATTATTTTTTCTTTCTTTTTTTTCATGCCAGGCTATTTATTATTTGCTTTGGCGTTAGTTTATTTATTATTTGTGCCGGGTGAAGTCATTGCGTTGGTGGTTCTTCCATATGCAAACACACACAAAAAATGCATTTCCTTTTAGAGATCGCGTTAGTTGGTCGGTTGTGCGGGTTCTATTGGCAATGCCAGTGCTGCCATATGTTGCAGATGAAGTTGTTCGTTCTCCAAAGATACACCGCAAACATTGCATTACCGCATATTTCACTTAGTTTTATGCGGCCTATCTAGGCAATAGACTACGCAGCAGTTGCATGGATATGCCGTTTGCGTTTTCACGTATGCCCGAGTATGAGTATTATGTGTACCACAAAAGCTGGTAGAGCTGATAATTATAATGACGTTGTACTGTTGATGGCTTTACTTCGGTTGTTAATGACGATAATGCTGGTGATGTATTAGCTGCTGCAAAGAAGGTTAACGACTTTAAGTCAATAAACTACAAAATGGTTCTGTTTGTCATTTATTGTCTGACTATTTAAGGAAAACAGCTGATAAATATACAACTCGCTCAACTAAAATATTTGTGAAAGGGAAAAATAGTCTTTTGTTATGCGGCGACAATTTCATTAACAGGAAATGCTAATTATGTAAATAATTACATTTTGATAGAGGAAATTCTTATAAAATATTTATAATACCCGTAGTTTACTACTAGGGTAGCACAAACAATGGAAAACAATAAAATTTCATTTTCATTAAAAAAAAAAGGGTGTTATAAAAAAATATAGACTTTTAATGACGAAGAACGTCGTTGCAATAGTGCAGTAAAACCTGTGACAAAAAGGTTTATGGTAGGTTTGGTAATTAAAAAAGATATTGAAAAACCAAAGTAATAAAAGAGGAAAACTGAAATAAAAATTCATTATGATGTAATCTATTACAAATGTATTTGTGATACATTAAAAATAGAAAAATAAAAATGTGCTAAAGAGACTGAGTTAAATAAAAATAAATTTAATTATTTCGGCATTAGTCACTTCGAAGTTATATACATTTAAAAAACCATTAAATCGTAATTCTAACTTATATGTATTTAGTAATTCTACTTAATTGAGGTACTAAATATAATGTATTGATTGCCTCATCATTTTTATACTTTGTTGCTATATATTTTCAAAGATGTTAAAACCTTAAAAAAACTGTGATTGTTAGAATGATTTTTGTTTATTTTTAACGATCTTTATATAAATATTATTTAAAAGCTAACACAAAGATGGTTGGTTGGTTGCAGTAGCAGGCCATTAAATAATTTTCATGTACCTTAATTAGCGATTTTTCGCCGTTTTGCTACCACATTACTCGCAGAAACCCTAGTATAGAAGAGTAGGGACTAAATCCACACCGCATCCCGTAGGTAATTTAATAGGTCTTTCATCTTCACCGTTGAGTAATCTGATAAACTATCAAAGAAGTATTTTCCTAAGAACCTATATCTTCTGGACGCTAAAGCCGGCCATTCACAGAGAAAATGTATTATTGTTTCTTTCTCCTGCAAGTTTCCACAACTTCTACAGTGAGAGTTATGTGGAAAGCACAAAGATAGTTGAAAAATTAAGCATTATGTATATGTAACTTTGTGCTTAACAGATCTGAGATACTTTTGTTCCTCAACTTCTAACAGCACATTCTCTACTTGGATTTGTGATTTTTAAGTTCTAATATTAAAACAGTTATGTAAAATTATTGGAAAATATATTTATTGGCTTCTTAAAGCTCCAAATGATATCAGCTTTTAAAGCTGTGTTCGCTATATAATAGCTTAAAAAATTTAACTGAACACTATTATATCATGATTTTCGTTTAGATTATCAAATTTTCTTTTTCATGGGGCATGTTCGTTCGTTCGTTTGGATTGATCCATTAATAAGATAAATTTATATATATTCACATGAATCTTGAAAATCTATATAAAGGAAATGATAAAATTAATCCTTCGAAGCTTCTTCGAAACGCTGCAATTTGATACTAACATCAAAAGGTGAATTGAGTTCTGATTTCTGCTTCTGGATGACTGATCCCTCGATGCTTCTTGACCTCATATTACAATAGTCAATGATCGGTACTTTTCGGCAAAATTGAATTCAAAGGTTTCGATACTTTCTATCGTTGTGTCCTACTTTTCCGCATCTTAAACTTGCTATGGGTGTGCTTAGTTGTCCGATAACTAAAAAAACTAAATATGTTGTTATTCAGTTGGATTAAGGTTCTAAAATTAAGAACACTTTGTAGTGTCGACAAATCTATGTTTCTACCTTATCTAGTTAAGTGAATGATGATGACAATTTTTTAATTTTTTTTCTTTGTATAAATGGAGATTATTTATATAAATCTAAACCACACTGTAATTATTTAAAAAAAAGTATTAGGTATTACTTTTGGAAAATAACTTAAATACAAA